TCCATGACACCATTTCGAATATTGGAAGCAGTAGCCACTGCTCACCCCTCCTGAGCCAAGTCTGTCCACACCTTACATATTGCCTTCTCCCTTCAAGCCAGAACGTCCCTAAGATACACCTTGTAATCAATGACTCAGTTTACTGTACCTCCTATTGGATACTGTAGATAGACAATAGAGTACAGACACACAGACACAATTTTGTCTGCAGTCTGAATCAGCTTGTTCAATGCTTCAGATCTTGATCTGTATGCACTACTCACACTCACTATACCATCACGAAAAAGTCTTAAGTATTGTATTTGCTTGTAATCCTATACATTTTGTACCTTTTATAAATTTTGTCAATGTTAATATAATCTTCATAGGGGGTTAAGCAAGGAAAGTACAATGTTAAATAAGTAAACAAGAATACTTGTGAAACTTGACAATTACAATTATAATAATATAAATTGACAAGTTATACAAGTGATTATAACATACTTCCTAAGATTACAAGGCTAAGACATACTTATTAATTTGTGAAAGTATAATATCTGCTTATAATGTCTACAAGTCATTACAAGTGTTTGAATAGCTTGCTTTTGCTTAGTATACAATTTTGTATCAAATAATTAATCAAATATAATTATATTTAAATTATAGAATACAAAAATAGTAAATAATACACTATTTCTACAGTCCCAACCCCTGCACCACTAGCTGCCTCTGCCTCATTCTTCTGCGAGTGGGATTTGTGTTGGAAAAGGGTGAATGCATTCTCAGGCCGTTCGACATAGTCTTCGTCACCACGTTTTGGTCGTCGCTCGGTCCCTACAAGTTGAATTGCAAGCGTGTGTGAATTGAGGTCGAGCAGGTTGTGGTGATTGAGGCTGTGCCTGTGAGACGAGTTTAGAGTGATTAGCAAGTGAAAATAAGAGAGAAAAGATGGACGCACTGCGACAGCGTGCAGCGAGTGTGGGTGGGTCACCTGGGTTGGAAATCCGGAGCGTTGAGCGAGCTAATTGGGCTGCAGGGGAAAGCGTGTCTGTGCAAGCGTGTTGCATGTTCTGGCTACGACGCGACGTGCAATCGGAGATGCAGTGAACTCAGTAATAGTTGTGGATGACTTCGAAGGTGTATCTCTAGGACGTTCTGGCTCGAAGGGAGAGGATGAAGTGGGTGGTGCAGGCGGACTCGGCTCCAGAGAGGTGAGCGGTGGCTACTGCTTCTGTTATTCAAAATGGTGTCATGGACGGCACTGGGGAATATAAATGCACACAGCGTGGGCCCATCGAGGGTGATGTCAAGCATAGGATGGTGGGCGGGGAAGGAGAGTGTGCAGGGGGTCAGAGAGAGGATTGCGCCCGAGGAGTGGTCATACATGGACATTGTCGCGAGCGCATACTCACCGATTGTTGCTTGCGTTGCTGAGCAGGAAGAAGTACGCAAATGCATGGAATTACTGAAGAAGTCGTTCAGCATTGGTCAACAACGCGGATGCGCGAATGCGAATGCAAAAAGGAAGGCGAGCGTAAACAGAGGAGGACAACGAAGGAGAGGCAACGCAAGCAGCGGAGCGAGGAGCGAGGAGCGAGGAGCAGGAGGGATGGAAGGGAGACAAGAAGTTGGGAGGAGAGGGATGAGCAACTATTGTGCGAGTTATTATGAAGTGGACTGGCTACTTACACTTTACAATGAAGGACAGTGTAGTGGGGGTGCGCTTTTCGGTTGTAAGATGCGTCCGAGCGGAATTTGAAAAATTACCATTTTCAGTCAGAATGTGGCGGTCAAAGTGTCCGCCTACTTGTACCTAAATTATTAATTTAGTAATCAAATTTAGGTCAATATAAATGTATTATACTGAACGATATTGTGCTAATAAGTTGAATTCATCTACTATAGCCAAGGAAAACGATGAGTAAAAATTAATACAGTGTATGCAAAGTGTATCTTGCTAATGATCAGTAGCACTGAGTAAAAAGATGACGCGAGTGTGACAAAAAATCGAAAAATGAACAGCCAAATCTACTGTGATGGGGTGTGACTCATTACTTTCGAGCTTCATTCTTTATTTTACTTCTCATCAAGGGATGAGTGAACTCTTTTAAAACATTGATGAAAAACTATATAAACTCAATATGAAAAGATTTACAGAAGGAATTAGCTAGAAAAAAATTGCTTCTTAAGATACAGCTGATTTGGTGTGTAAAACAGCTGTATTTTGGCTTATTTCAAATTAAATGAGAATCCCTTCTGTAAAAAGTTTCATTTGCATCTCAGAAGCATGAAATTTATTTTATTATTATTTTATCTTAGGTGTGGGGAACAGAAATGTTCCTGTACAATCACTACTTTTAACCAGACACAAAATTTGATCACATAAGCAATAAATTTCTTAATTGGAAGCCGTGGGAACGGACGCGCAACACAAGGGAAAAGCGCACCCCCAAGTGTAGCCAGCTCGGCCGTGTCGTCACAGGATCTGAGGCTCAATGTGGGCATCACAGTGGCAGATTAGAGAGACGAATCCAGCAACGTTTATTGTCTAGGCGGTTGCAGGCAGTGTGCCTGCTGGAGAATGCTTGTAGGCAGAGGACTGGGCTGGAGAGAACAAAAGAAACAACATAGTGTTGGGAGAAGAGGGTTGGAGAGATGGTGGAAGTAGGAGGAAAGGAGTGACGAGAGCAAGTGCGTCATTATATGCTCTCGATCCTCGGTACTCGATTATGTAATCACTTCGATATATTGTAAAAGTAAAACCAAGTTATATTATAAGTTTAACATGGTGATTGTTAACAATATTAATATATATAATTGCATATTATCTTACTAAAAGGATTGTAATTAACTTACAAGCACAATGTATTACTTTTATAACTATTATAATCAATCAACTATTGTTACAAATAACTTATAATAAAATTTTAACATATTATAATAAGAGTTAAGTGCTTATATCTTACATGCAATAATGTAATAATACTAGTATTAAGCTTACTTGCTTTAAAAAATACTTGTAGTTTAGCAAAAAGCTTGTATATTCCTTATATTTATATACAATCATTAGAATTATATTATAAGTAAAATATAATTACTATGTTAGATTGTAATGCTTGTGAAATTATATTATTAAATTACTTTTACTATTATTAATTACATTTGTTGTGACTTTTTCGTGATGACACTGCTACAGTGTGTCTATCTTTTCTTACTTGTTACTACTTGCTAATCACTCTAAACCTGTCTCACAGGCACAGCTCTCCCTTTAGGCCAGAACACCCCAGGAATACACCCCTTAGTCAATGGTTCAG